CCTCTCTTTCCATACCTCCTTATGTGCATTCATTACAGGACACGTACACTATAGGTGCAAGGTTCTCCTATACTACCCAGCCTCTGCCCCTTCACTCTGACCTGGAGGGGACTATTTCAAGGGAGGGGCGGCCAGTTGATTTTCCATTCTCATTTAATCCTGGTGTACATGCTGGCTAGTTAATGCCACTTGGTTTTTTGTTTTATTGTGTGTGTGATGTGGGTATCTTCGTCTGAAATCTGGACTGAGACCCACTAGCACATTTCACATAGGGCATCAGATAACCAGATAGTAATGGCTTTGTCACACCAACCTGGACTAGTTTTGAACAGGTAACTTAGAGGTGAAGTTTGTGTACCTTAATATCAATTCTCTGAGCCATTCAGTTGTTTGGTGCATATGCTGATTTAAAACAATCCCCAAGTTAATTATTTAGATGGACAAGTTCCTTTAGGCCAAAATTCCTGAACTTGGTAGCCTGGAGTCGGGCACCGAAATAACAGAAGCCTGTTTTTCAGAGGCATTGAGCACCCACAGGTCCTATTGATCTCATTGTGGATGCTCAGTGACTCTTTTTTTAAGTGCCTAAGTATGGATTTAGTTGCTTAACTTAAGGCATGCAAGTTCAAACAATGTGGGATTAGTCTTTAAGGTCTCATCTTATAAAGATGCCAAGCACTCCAGGATCCATTGATGCTTAGATCCCCAGGCAGTAGTAGGTATCTTGGGAATACTCAGACGTATACATTGACCTCAGTGGGAACAGAGGGTGTTCAGCACCTTGCAGAATCAGGCCCAAAGACCATAATGCAGCATCTTAACTAGAAATGTATTGGGCAAGAATAGCTCAGGTATAAACCAACATTCTTTACAAGTTTCAGAGTAGCAGCTGTGTTAGTCTGTATCCGCAAAAAGAACAGGAGTACTTGTGGCACCTTAGAGACTAACAAATTTATTAGAGCATAAGCTTTCGTGGGCTACAGCCCACTTCTTCGGATGCATATAGAGTGGAACATATATTGAGGAGATATAGTCTCTAAGGTGCCACAAGTACTCCTATTCTTTACAAGAATAATGCTCTGCTCAAATACTTCCCATGTAAGTAACTAACAAGAGACTCAGCTACAATGATCAGCGGAAATTTCTAAGGGCCCAAGCGTTTCATAGTTTTCAAATGAAGACTTGAGACTCTCACGATTATAGTTTGTTTTAAAATGTCCCATGCTATTTTGAAGATGTTCTCCCTGATGTACCGGCTCAGGAATGCAGGAATCAGTAGTTATGGTGAAGAGAGCATTGGCCCATTATCTGCTCAGATTCTTGAGCTCCTGGGATAACATCTCCTGCTTGTTTTACACCTCACACAGACCTGAAGGGGTTACGCTGTAAAATGAATAATGACTAAATTTATTCGTCATGGACAAATGATGACAGCTGTTGAGATGCTCCCGTTAGAGCTTCCCAAGGGATAAACTCAGGCTAGTTCCTATTGTGAGCCAAGCTAGCAAGACAGAGTAAGCTTGTCTTCAGTCTTGGATTGTCTGTCCTGGGTTACTAACAGTAGCAGTGAATTTCCTTCCTAGAAGTGGCCTGAAGTTTTCTGGGCTAAAATGGGCATTCATCTGAATCTTGCAGAACCACAGTTGTACAAACAGGACTGAAGCCATAGCTATTTAAATCTATGTGTGAAGACAGCAGCTTAATGAATACAAGGGGCAATGATTGATTCTGTTCTGGACTGAAGTCTGCAGCAGTCTGTGAAACAGTGTTACATCTGGGCATGCTATGGAAAATATGAAGGAATGTTGAGGAAGCTTATTTGCAAAAGGATATGTACTTGTAAGCAATTTCTTCTTTTTTTTCTTTTTAATGATTATAAGTGAATAGAAGAGATTTTAAGCAAATTGCATTTTTTTAAATTTTGAGAAAGAGCAGAGTAGTGAGCAGACAAAGGCCCCTTTTAGTAAGGCATGTCTCTGCTAGATATTACTGAGCGTCATTCATAAATGAACATTGGGGTCATAAGGCAGGAGAATAGTCATGATTGTTAAATGTTAAACACCATGATCCAAATTTTATCCCTGGCGCACACCCAGTGAAGTCAGTGGAATTACACCTGGGTTGAATTTGGCCCTATAGGATTTACAGCTAGAGTGCAAAATTTGATCTTTATTATAAATGATGATTGTGACCATCAGCTGTTGAATTGGGAAGAATGTGCTTCTTCATGTGTATAGTTGATTTGGTTGTATTTTATTTTATGAACTCCACATTCAGATTGTTTCTGTTCTTTGTTTCTCTTTCTGACCAATACATGTGCTGCTGAAAGACCTGGTATGCAGTTTTGAATGTGCCAGAATATTATCCTTAATTTTCAGTCAAGGAAATTCTCTCTGGATGTTAAAGGTTATTCAACATAGATATTAGAAAAAAACATTTGGCCACAATGTTGACAAGAAGATCCATTTGATTGTAATTCGCCTCTTTTTTTTTTATAGCTAATACTCAGGAAAGCTCATTTTAAATTGGAATTTGAGCAAAATTAATGGAGTTTTACTAAAATGCTACAAAAATGAGGTCGTTCTTAATGTTCGATTTCTGAGTTTTTATTTTACTTTATTATCTGGAATAGGAAACCACACCCTTTGTGTGTGCTGGGGGTGGGGGGGGTGGTCAGGGTTGGAAAAGCACAATTGCTAGATTATTTTTACGTTAAATAAATGACAGTCTAGATGAACATTAATGTAACTGAAACAAGATGTATACTATTAGATAAAAGTGCTACTTTTGAAATAATGCAGAATATCTGTTATCTGGTTATATTTATAGTAATGATTTCCTCTTGGGTGGTGGTATATATATATATATATATATATATATATATATATATATATATAGTAATGAATCTTTTACTTGATATCTATATAGCTCTCGATAAGAATTTAAAAGAAAATGTAGTTGGGGTGAAATTCACCCCGTTCTAAAAGTCTGGACAAGCCTATCCTCACCACCCCACGATAAGGATTTAAATGGTGCAGGGGGCCTTGTGCAGGCTCACCAGATGCTGGGTGGAATTTCACCCATCGACCCTATTCAGTCCGTCCCTATTTACTGAAATACTTAAGCATTCACTTCACTTGAGGCATATGCTTAAAGTGAAACTTATGCTTAAAAGCTTTGCTGAATAGGGAAGGACTTAGACAGGTGCTTAAACGGTTTGCTGAGTTGGGAGATAGTGACTAATGTATGCCCAGAACTGATAAATGATCTCTGCTCTCCTGAGGCAATGGAGTGGTTAGTGCTGAATGTGCTCAACCCCTGGCTGGAAGTGACCCTTCTGGCTGATGAAAGATGGCATTGATGGGGTCCAGCCAGAGGGAATCATGTTCAACCTCCAGACAGAAGGAGGTAGGTGCAGGGTGACCACCTATCCTGAATTGGGTGGGACAGTCCCGAAATGCAGAGTTCAAGTCCCGGTCCCAGGCTGAATAATTCCGGGACAACATTTGTCCTGGATTCCCTGTGGCACTGCTCCGCGCCTGCCCGAGCCTCAGGGGCAGCGCCAGCCTCTTCCTGGTGTGTGTGTGGGGGTGAGCTGAGGTGGGCCTTCACCCCCACTCACCATGAAGCCCCGCCCCCTGCTCTTCCTCCCCCTCCCTCCCCCTGAGCCCTCACCCCCTGGCCAGGCCAGAAACTGCAGTCGGCCAGTAGTATGAGCCGCCCAGGTAGCCTAGGTTGCTATGGGGAACCCTGGACACTCCACCTGCCCTGGGTGGCGCACCCCAGGGGGCGGGGACACGGGCCAGGGGCTGGTCTTGGGCACCCTGGTCCTCCGCCCAGGGCAGGTGGAGGGTCCGGGACTCCCCACAGCAGCCCAGGCTCCCGGGCAGGCTTTGGCTTCAGACCTGGCCGGGGATGGGGCTTCGGGGAGAAGAGGAGGAGCAGGGTGTGGGAGTTTGGGGGGGAGAGAAGGGGTAGATTGCAGGGCCAACAGAGGCGGGCGAGGCTCCTGCATATGTCCTGCTTTTGCCTTTTGAAAAGGAGATCACCTTAGGTGGGCGTAATGTGATCCTGAAGGGCTGTGGGGTGGGAGTAGAGTTGGGGGGAAACATAGTAGAACTCAATCTGATTTTCTTAGCACACAAAGCCCGGATTAGCCATCCAAACATTTTATACCTTCCGACTGACTATGTAGCAAATTGTCATTTAAAAACAAGTTAAAGTGGATTTAGGGCTTTTGAAAGTTGCGTGATTCACAGCCCTGAAAGCCAGTGTCTTTTATTGATCCATAGAATGCAGGAACAGCATGAACAGTTGCTGTGTGATCTTCCCCACACTGCCCCTCTGAGGCCTCAGGGCTTGTCTACACCAGCACTTAAGTCAACATAACTTACATCGCTCTGGGGTATGAAAAAAACATCCCCCTGAGCGACGTAAGTTAAATCAATTTGAAGTGCTGTCTACACCAAGCTATGTTGACATAGCTTCCGCCTCTCATTGAGGTAGACTAATTACATAGACGGAAGAGCGCTCTCGTCGATATAGTGCTTCTTCACCAGATGTGCTATATCGGCCCAGCTACAGTAAAGACAAGCGCTCAGTCCTGTTGTACAGGCACCACCTCTAGGGGTGAGAGGGTAGCTGAGGATCTATGGGCCCTTCAGTCCTTGATCTCAGCTATGACTACAAACCACTGCCTGAATTCTCAGTTACACTAAGGCCTGTTTACTCGTCTTGAGGTGGAAAGCTGTAGATCTCCTGAGCTGACCAGCTCCTTGAATTTGTATGTAGAAAGGACGGTTGGATGCAGGCATTGATCATAGCTTGTTGGTTTATTCTTTTAAAAATAACTTCAGTGAAGCCTTAAAAAGCTGTTGAAGTGAGAGCTGTCTCCAGTATTCTTGCAGGAAATGCACAGAGCACTTGCTCCAATATAGGCACACCAGTTGGGAAATGTTTTAATTTCACCTTAGTTATGACTGAATGTGGTTCTTCCTCAGATAAAAATTTTGATGATGAAGACTCTGTGGATGGGAACAGACCTTCCTCGGCCAGTTCATCTACATCTTCAAAGGCCCCTCCAAACTCCCGCAGAGTTGGCATGGGGACGGCTCGCAGACTTGGGTCTGCAGCTCTGGGCTCAAAGTCCACAGGTAAGGCAATATCGCATATTGGGTGAAACTCACCTTTCTGCAAAGGGCCTGCACAACACCTAGGCACGACTGAAGTCCCATTTAAGCCTTATTTTGAGGACCTAAGTGCTGCATAGTCCTTGTGCTAAGCAGGCCCTCTTTAGGGTGGTGAATTGCTCTGTCTGAGAACATGAGACTTATACTGGCTGAACACCAAGAATGTGTTCTGGAAGAGTGGACCTGCAAATGATTCCCACATCCAGATCCACATAGTGAGCTTCAACATTGTGTTTGAAGCAACAGTGTGCAGTGATCCACCTTTTCCTCCTAAAGGAACTACACCTCTGTAGTCAAATAGCTTAAATAACACAGGCTGTTTATTTAACAAATACGGTCAAAAATGTATGTGCTAAACTCCAGTTTCCTGCAAATTTAAAACAGTTGGCAAATTGTTTTTTTAACACTTGTGCCACTTGACCTCCAACTTCTGACGCTCTAATTAAAGGGTGAAAAGAAAACTGAACAATGACTCTGAATTTATTTGCAAATTGCAACTAAAGGAAACTTTCCTGATTCCATTCTCAAACGATAACTGTCATCTGAATAATGTCCTTAAGCCTTTACCTTTTCTCCCCATCTCTGTATCTTCAGTCTGTGTACCTGTCAGGAGATCCACACATTCGTCAATTATAAATGGGACTAAACCCTTTAAGAGAAAAACTCCCTTGTAGCTTAAGTAAATATTCCATCTCATCTTTTCAGGCAGCACCCCTAACAGTCGAATGGCTGCCTTAAACGACTTTGTAATGTGCTCTGTTATGCCTAGGAATTGAAGGATGCTGTGTATAGTTTGTGCTTTGCTTTGAATTTCCTTGCCTTTATTGTTTCCATTACAGCTGTAACACTCTTTCCATGTAGGTTTGGGGTGTGTGTGACTTCTTTCTTCTTTAGGTGCTTTCAGAACTGGGCATATTTTTAGTGATTATACTGTTGTTGATGAGAAGGGTGAAAAGGCTTTTTCATTTATCTGTCAGCAGCCAAAGAGGGAGCTGGTGCTGTTGATGAGGAGGATTTTATTAAAGCGTTTGATGACGTCCCAACAGTTCAGGTAAGAAGAAATACATTTTAAAACATTTAACAATAACAGTATAACCCAGATGTCCAACGCAATCCCTCTCTCATTGAAATCAATAGCTGAGGCCCATTAACCTCAGTGGTGGCAAGCTCTAATAAAGAGGGAGGCAAGGGAGTAAAGAGATGTTTTCATTTTCAGATTTGGAAAGAGATGGCGAGTGGGTGAGTTAGAGAGAGACAGGAAGGGGATTCCAAATGACAGGAGTTGCAGAGGAGCGGTGGAGCAGTTGTCTGGAGGACTGAAAGGGAAGTCAGTGCTTGACAGACAGAGGGAAATGAGAGGAAAGTAAAGAGACGAGGGCTGTGAGGTTGGCTGGAGCAAGCCAACAGAGCATGTATAAAATGAGGAAAGCGGGTTATCTTAAACTGGATCCTGAACTAACTCCCTAAAGCCAGTGGAGTAGTTTGTGGACAGAGAGTAAAGGCAAGTCACAAGATGTTGCACCTCCTGAAGACTGGGAGCTGAGACTTGTGAAGGCCATGAAGAGGACTCAGCATAACTTCAAGTAGAGGGTTCATCTAACTCTGATACTTGAAAGAGCGACGGTTAACATCAAACTCACTTATTGTGTATCTGTAGACTTGAACAGTGGAAAGTTTTCAAATGCAGTCACATGCACGTAGGATTTATCAGTATCTCTATGCTTTCATCAACTCGCAGTTTTCTTTGTCCTGACCCGAATTGTTGCCAGACTGAATAGTTCCAGGTTCATTTGACTTATTCTTCAAATACTAGTGGACTCCTCTTTGTTATCTCAGTGCTTGACTGGATGAAGACAGACTTCCTTCAGCTATTCCTGTTACGACTAGGGGATTTTACACTAATCTCAGGAATTCTCTGACTTTCCCACCTCTTTCCTACCCAGAGGTTATTTTCACTGGAGTTATTCTCATTTCAACATTTGCCAAGGATCTCGGTGTTTGATTCTAGTTGCCTTCCCAAGGTTAAGTAAAACACATCATTACATTTTACTTTTCTCAGTTAAGGAATATTGCTTGTTTGTCCTTAGAGTTAATTATTACAGTCCCGATTCATGCCTTTATATTGGTTGACCATTGCAGTATCTGGCCTTCCCTACAGGCTGCAGACTATTGAAGATACCAAAGCTGGATTGATAACATGCATGTTATACCATGATGTCATTGCACAGCTGCTTTCTCGTTTTCCACTATATACAGTGGCAACATTAGAGAAGCATCACGGAATAGAGGATTGAACTCTAGCTGGGAGCCAGAAGCTCTGGAGTTCTAATTCTGATTCTGAACTGTGTGATCTTGCACAAATTGGAGATGCGTGTCAGATAGGAACCAGGACAAACAGAGGGTTTTTTTACTTCTCAGTGCTTCAGCTTTCTCCTCTGTAAAACGGAGATGATAATACTGAACTGACTCGAAAGGGGTAGTAGTTAATGTGTGTGTGTGTGCAACACTTGGAAAACAGACAGAACTGTGTGCTGACTATTGCTAAATTCTCCTCTCCTCCATGTATGCACAATTCACACTCATTTCAGTGGGTGTTACAGGCTCAGGGCTGAATTTGGCCCACTGACTTCATGACTAGCCTATCTTACATTGCTGACATGTTGCATATATTACTCTTGCAAAATTGCTTTCGGCAAACTCAGGACTATTGGCTGCTCAGCCTTCTTGGTTAGTCTTTTGTAGCGATGGCATTGACTTCCTATGTGCTGATGCATTGGAACTCTTGCACTTTGACATTTGGAATCTTCTTTGCACCTGTATGTTTAAAGCTACTCTTCAGCTTTTTAAATGTTGCCTGTTCGTGTGGCTAATGTGCTATTTTGGGACATTCTTTCAAACACTGGTATGTAAACAGTGCCAGTAAAAACCGGCACTTACAGGGCAAATAGGTCCTTATAAGCACAGTTATCTATTGTGCCAACAAATATGGGTTTCACTTATGCAGTGGGTATTTACACACTTTGTGGGCGTAATTTATGTATCAAATTTTGTTAATTTGTCTCTCTATATTTATTGGTGGTTTTGTATGACCCTCTAGAAGACTGTTTTAGGTATGACGTTGACTTCAGAAATAATGCTTACTGCCTTTAAATTGTAGAGCTGTATAATAGTCAAAAATGATAACACTTTAAACATCCTGTTTGGCCATTTAATATTTCTTGATTTTGTGTAATACATTAGTCCCTTAGAGTCTAAGAGCCACACGCAGTGTGTGTTGTTTTGCACGTGGTAGTAAAGAATTCAGGAGTGAAGGAGGTTAGAGGTTCAGTTAAGAAATCTTCCGATTCACTGGAGCAAGTATTTATTTTATCTTGATAACATTTTCTTTTTTTAATTCACAGATTTATTCCAGCCGAGACCTTGAAGAATCCATAAACAAAATTAGGGAAATCCTATCGGATGATAAGCATGACTGGGAGCAGAGAGTATCTGCAGTAAGCATTGGACCTATATGCTAATTATTTTAATGTACGGTTTTTATGGATGAAGTTCATCCCTTTGCAGAGTGTCAGCACAAGTTCTGTGTACCACTGAAGTTGTCTAAATAGGGCTGATGTGCAGTTTAAGTGGTACATTGACTATACTGGCCCTCTGCATGGAGTGAATTTCACACTATGGGACTAAATTTAAACTCCTACATTAAGGAAACCATGAAGTATTAGGTTTATAGGAATTTAAATATCATGAACAGGCATCATATTGAATAAGTCATCATACATTTAAGATATACTTAATTTTTCAGACAAATAGATAAACCTAGAAAATCGCTATTAGACTTTAGAGTCAAATTTTCAAAAGTGGAGTTCAAAATTGTGAAAAGTGTCCTTTCTGCACTCCATTTGGGTAGATGGATACGTGCAAAAGACCTGCTTCTTCACTGCCTTCCAGGTTGTATAGTCATTTACACCTGTGCAAAGTGGGTGTAAAACAGTTTGGTAGCATTTTATATCCACTGGCCACAGGTGGAAATGACTGCATGGAGGAGCAAGGTGATAGGAAATCAGACCTGTAATGGACATGCTGAGTTTGAGTCTTATTTATAGACAAGCTGTAAGTTACACTGATGCAAATCTGCATAAGACCTTTTCTACACTCTTGGTTTCTGCCACTGGTGTAAATACAGTGATGTAATTTTATTGGTGCAAATCCCCAGTGTAGCCCTGACATACTTGTCCAAGCAGTGATTTGCACTGGTGCAGTTTACCTGAGTCAGAACCTTGGTTCTAAAGTCTAATAGTGAATTGATAGTGGTGCACCATGATTAATTGTTTGCATTGGTGTAGTTATATCAGTGGCTAAAACTAGCTCCCTAGGGTGAAATCCTGGCCTCATTGAAATCAGTGGGAATTTTGCCATTAATTTCATTGGGGCAGGATTTCACTCCTAGTGTAGACAAGGCCTGATTCTAATGAATTCAGTGTAGATGTTCCAGATTTACACTGGTGTAACTGAGATCAGAATCTGAGTTGTGGCTTTCAAGTCAGACCATCTTTTTAATGAGAGAGCTGTGAGAAAATTACAGCGTTTCAATACATACAATGCACTTGAACGTTTCAAGACGTTCATTTCCCTAAACCTAAATGGATGGAGGGAATGGAGGAGCAACCTTCAAATTCTTAAACTTGTTTAAATGTCTCGATAACTTTAATGATACGATTGGAAAAGTAAATGTCTGGCTTGCCACATTTTGTCATTGGTCAAATTGTAAATGACACTTTTGGATTCCTGTAGCATGGCCAAGGCTAACGTATGAATGTTCTTACTTTTATTCAATTGATCCCTGAAATATGTGATCTTAGATTGCGTTAAGAACCTATTCCTCAACACATTCATATTTTTACAGGGAAGTTGAAAAATGAGCACTAGTTTTGAACACAGTTCTGAGTGTTTTTATTTCTCATTAATAGATACCAGTGTGTCTTGCTATTTTGTCACCTGTAAGTCCTTAAATCTTGTTTGCCAACAGCTGAAAAGGATCCGATCCTTACTATTAGCTGGAGCTGCTGAGCATGATAACTTCTTCCAACACTTACGCCTGCTGGATGGAGCATTTAAATTATCTGCTAAAGATCTGCGGTCTCAGGTAGTGCGAGAGGCGTGTATCACGTTGGGGTAAGGAATACATTCTAAACTGTGTTCTACAATTAGTTTTGATAAAAGGAGGAGATCCTGGCTCGAACCCATTTATGATGTCATTTGGCCTTGTCAGTACTGGACAGACAAAGTGGCGTTAGAACTTGGTTTTTGCCACAGCCATTTAAAAACCTTGCTCCTGCGGGTCATTAATCATGGTTGTACAGCCTGTGGGGATGGGTTCCGTATGGTGATGGTTGTACAGCCTGTGGGGATGGGTTCCGTATGGTGATGGTTGCACAGCCTGTGGGGATGGGTTCCATATGGTGATGGTGTTTGGAAATGTTGATTGGGCAGGCCTTGATCAGCTTTAACCTTTGAAAGCAATTACTCACATTATGGACCAGATTCAGATCTCAGTTACACCGGTGTCCATCTGAAGTAGCTCTATTAACTTCAATGGAGTTACTGTGGATTGATAACCAATGTAGGAAAGGGCAAAATCTGTCCTTATGGGTTTATTGCTGGCCAAAGCTAGCTTTAAAAACTCCTCAAAGTGTTTCTAAGTTATTCAAATACAAAATAGTGCCTGTAAAACCACAGAATATATTCGGTGATCACATTAGCTCTAGTATGGACACCACAGATTTTTTTTTTAATTAAAAAAAAAAAAGGGGGGGTGGAGCTCTTTGTTCCTGGGCTCATGACCCAGGTATACTTGCGACATTCTAAGGGTCAGTTTACAATCAAACAGATTTGACTGAGTTATATGTTTCTGTAAACTGGCAGAGACAACAGAGCTCCTGTTGCAATGCCTGGCCTTTGAGGAGTTGAGCACCCAGAGGGCCCATTGAATACCATGGAAATTGAGGGTACTCGGCACCTGTCAAGGTCAAGTCCACAATGCTGTGAAATGCTTTTCAATAGTGTAATACCACAATTCCAAGTAACAAAATGAAATGTGCCCTGAGTATCTGAATCCAATGGAACAGAAGTGGAGGGCCATATTTTGCCCTCCTTGACCCCACATTTTAAATTAGTGGGGTTGCATGGAGTGCAGAATTTGGTCATGGCTAACGACTGAAGGATCAGGCCCATAGTGGTTAATTTCATTTAATTCCATTAAGATACAAATCTTATGTAAAACGACGTACTCAGTAGCGAGGGACCAATTGCAGATGCTTTATATGGAAAACACGTGAATATTCCGACCCTTAGGAGACTTCAAAATTGAGTTGGAAAGTTCCTATTCATCCTGGGTCTGTTAAGGCTGGAAATGCCAACAGAATAGCTTCTCTTGTGATATTTCACACTCACACTTTCTGCCCGAGCTGAAGTTAGCAGGCCAGGAGGCAGCATAACATTGAATAATAAAGACACAAATATGAAATGTGTTTTGTCTTTGGGTTCAGACTGAGTTTGGGGTGAAAGTACAGGTCAGTTCTTATTTTCTGTCAGCTTGTTCCCCCATCCGTAGTAACTGAATGTTGAATGCTGCCAGAGCAGTGACTTTGAAGAAAGGGGACTAGGGCATTTTTAATAATCGTTTATGAAATTCACAAATGTCAAGGCAAGACAGAAGCTTGAGAGAAAACAGAATCTGAAACTGACAAGTGCTAGAAAACCGAGTTATTCAGCAGTGCCCTATGGGTTTGTCGGTGCATCTTTAACAGGGTGCCAGTGATGTGGTGAGCTTCCATGCTGAATTTATTCCTTGCTAAAAATCTGGATGAGCATAAAGCGTAGCACTGGTTTGAGATGAAAACTGAAAAATGTTTGAGATATGTCTTGTTCTTTCTTCTTTGGTGGAGTTAGAGAGGAGACTGCAAAATCACGAAATAATGCATGTCAGATAGTCTACATTACTATGACTAGCATAATCTAAAGCATATTTACCAGCATTTCTTAATTGTTTTTCAGACATTTGTCTTCAGTTTTGGGAAACAAGTTTGACCATGGGGCAGAAGCCATCATGCCAACCATCTTTAATCTGATTCCTAACAGTGCCAAAGTAATGTCCACTTCTGGTGTCGTAGCTGTTAGATTAATCATCCGAGTAAGTATATATCAAAACAAAACTTTGTCTTATAAAGGCTTAAATCTGTGATCAGATCTGAACTGAGGAGAGAATGTGAACATGTCCCTGGTGAAAATTAGCTTAAATAAATAGATTAAGCACCTCAATGTTGCAGAACTTGGCTATGAGACTTCTTCCTTGAATTTCATCTGGATACGATATCTGCATTCAGAAGCTTTTGTTGAGCCCCATGTCATGTCTTAGAACAGGGGAAATTATTTACTGAAACACAGTTCAAGAGGGGAAAAGAGACTGACAATAAATGAGGAGTAATAGTTTGTCCACTATCAATGGAAGTTGCTTCTTGGTGACTCTTGTTGTTTATGAACCCAGTTTATGAATCTAGCAGTTTACTGACTAAATTGTTCAGTGGAAGTTGTGTAGCCACCTGAAGGAAGAGCACTACAGAGACATTCAGATGCTAGGGACACTGTTAATTATAGGCTGCTGGCTGGGTAGCATTTGGTGTTTGGGTGGCCATTAGCTTGTAGGAAGGGGAAGGGACAACTCATCAGATTATCATTAGCTATCTGGCATTGAAACCTAGCAGTGATATTTTGTGTCATGAAGACCTTGTTCTGATGGTTCAGGCTGTAGCATGCTCCATCAGATACATTCTAGATTGTAAGTAGAAAAGAAAGTAGTTCTCATAGTACTAGTAAGTGACTAAAGATGGTGAACTAGCAGCTCTTTTATTAAATATAAATGCTGTTGGTCAGCAAGTGAGGGTTCAAAATCATAACTTTCCAGGTTGCTCTAGATTCCAGTTGCACAATAAGACCTAACCATGTTCATATTTACAGGCTCGAAGATCATTTAGGAATAATTTCATCGTTTAACAGGGTATCCCTCTGTGTTACTTTGTATAAGAAAATGGAAGTACTCTATTTCTTTATGCACTATTCATTATTCTAGAATGATGGATTGTGTGATTGGAGCGTGGGGGTTAGGAATCAGGACTAGTAGGTTTAATTCCTGGCTTTGCCTCTGACTCACTGTATGATCTTTGGCAATTCACTTAGGGTCCAATCCTGCACCTACTGAAATCCAAGGCCAAAACTCCCATTGACTTAAGTGGTACATGATCAGGGCCCTACCTCTCTGTCCTTTGGTTATCCTATCTGTAAAGTGGAGTTAACAATATCTATCTACCTGCCTCAGAGGGATCTTGTGAAGCTTGACTAGTGAGGGTTTGCAAAGGACTTTGAGAGTGGATGACAAGTGCTATCAGCATAAGATGTATTAGGGAAACTTCTTTGCAGAAACAAAGGATTTTGACCTTTGGAGAGTTGCGTGTGTATTTCTCTGAAGTCATTTTTAAACCACTTTCACTTGCCTTCCCATCCTCATATAAAGAGTCTTTGTAAGCACTACATGGATAGTGCATCTTGTCTAAGGCCATTAATCAACTAGTGTGGCCTCTGCCCAGTGATGTGGCTGGCATGCTGTGGGAAGCCTTGGCATACCCTACTGCTGGAGATTTCTGCCTATTGATGAATATGGGTCTCACACAGCAGTGACTACAGACCCGCCGGAGCCTGTTTCCATAAGTGTAAATAAGGAATCCATGTCTTTCTTAAAAATATTCCTTTATCTATGGGCTGAATTTTTTAAAATGAGCCAAAATGAGTGTGTGGATGTTGGCTTTAGGATGACTAAGGGAAATTGGCTTTACTCCCACAAATCTAAAATGTAAAGGTTTTTCCCCTGTTTCTCTTGTTCTAGCATACGCACATCCCTCGGCTAATACCCATCATAACCAGTAACTGTACCTCCAAGTCTGTTGCAGTTAGAAGGTGAGAATGAGGTTTTAACTTTTCTTCTTGTTTATCAATGGCTTAAATTCACTTCCTGTTTTTTTTTTTTTTTTTTTTTAAGGAAAAGCTGTGTTTTTCAAAGCGATGTAGAGGATTTATCTGCACATCTTCCCTTAACATTAATGGATGTATCTGAATCCCCTAGGTCGCTATGAAAAATTCAAACCAAGTGTTTTTTTTAAAAGTTGCACACTGTATAGGGAAGAATCACTGTTCCTGTTCTTGAAAAGGAAGGATGGCCTTTAAATAGAAAGTAGCTGATTTAACATGTAGGGGGGGAGGTAGGTGTGGGTGTACTGTACAGTTGTGTATGTTTGTGCATGTTTAGATATTGCTATAATATTATCACATTAGTTTGGCTGCCTTCCGAGGCCTCACATATGCTCCTATTTTCTACTACCAACCACTTTTGTAGTACGTTTCCTTTGGACCAGAGAGTAAAAGTCACATTCTCTGAAATTCGATGGCCTGAGTTATGCAGGAGGTCAGACTGGATAATCACACTGGTTGCTTCTGGCCTTAAAAATGGATGATTATTTCCTTTCTGCTGTCTAGTTGGAAGACCTAAGCCCACTGTCTTTAGCTCCAGTCTCCTCTAGCTGGACAAACAGAAGTAAGAATGATTGGTGACTGTGTCACCTACTGACTACAGCTCTGTCACATACCGTAAGCAAGTCACTTAACATCTCTGTCCTTCAGTTTCTCTATTTGAAGAATGGGGATGAGAAAATACCTTCTTTTCAGACTCGATACGAAGCGTAGTGTTTGTAAAGAGCTAACAACTACAAAGTAGTGTTAACTTTGATCTTCTCTACATCTCACTGTGCTTTGTATTAAAAAGAAGCAAAATCAAAACCACCCCACAAGTAATAGTCTACAGCTAGGGTCCAGAGCACTGCTTCATACAGTGGTGACATTCCAGTGTTTCAGACCATTACTGTAGCGTATGTTCATATTTTTTAGTGTAAAAACTCTTTGTAGAATTTGATCTTTATAGATACACTAGTATTTTTAATAAGGGTTGTCACTGCTGATTTTGGTGTCCAGCTGGGCCCCATAATAATAAATGACTGATGTGCGGTTGCAAGTCCACTAGAAGCCATATGCCTCTTTATTAGCTTAAATAGCTCAGACAATATTTCTCCTTTATCCACTTTCAGGCGCTGCTTTGAGTTTTTAGACTTGCTGTTACAGGAATGGCAAACACACTCCCTAGAAAGGTAAGACCTTCGGGACTGTGGCTTGAAACATCCCACCCTCACTGCTAAAATCCGTTTTTTCCCCATTCAAAAATAAAAGGGAAAAAGAGTCCTCTGAGGCCCTGTGTGCACCTGCTTAGGCGCAGGCTGTTGGGGGAATTGCTGAGGCCTCCCAAATATTGGAGCTTCTGGTGGCACCACAAGTGTGGATCCCAGGGCTACAGACGCTATTTCCTGAAAGCGTTGTTGAATGGACTAGAGAAATGAGTCCTCTCCAGTCAGGCTGCAGAGAAGATGGTCAATGAATTCTTGAGCTCTGCCATTCTCCAGATTAAACTCAAGCAAGGGGGTCTCATATTTTCCTGACTGAAAACAAGTGGCAGAGAGAAGCCAGGCGTGGGAGGAAGGGACTGGTGTTGGCAGAAAAGAAGATCTTAGGCATTTCAGTTTCCTGCTGCAGGCAAGTACTGTGTGGTCCAATCATTCCAAAATATTGCTATTCCGAAATAATAATGCTATAGTAATTCCAGATAGTAAAGCAGTAATACTATTCTAAATAGCCAGTTTTCCCTATATTGGCCTATATGTTTAAGAGCTAGATTGTTCTGGTATGCAAAGAGGGGAGCACACAAGGGGCCTTTTCCTTCCCTTATGCTCCCACCCTAGATTTCTGGCCTTAAGATCTGACTCTTGCAAGTGAGGGTGCAATTGCAGTGCCTGTGTTCACCCAAGCCCGGGGAGTACTCCCTCCTACAACCCCTGGGGCTCGAGCCATCCTGAAGGGGTAGGAGAAGCTAAGACTGTGGGCCCATCACCTTGTATAACTGACTGATGATGCTGGACACATGCAGAGATTGGAGCATGCTGCAGACTCCTAAAGGATGGTATATCATGTGCACTGGTGTTGGGGCGCTCTGGGCGGGATTTTGCCTCCCAGATGCCAGGCATAAAGCCAGAATAGCTAGTTTAAGGCTGACACACAACTAATAGGGACATAATAAGAGACTAATATCTGTAAGACACATTATGGCCATTCAAACTAACAGTCTGCGGAGAAAGACAAAGGTGAAGGGAAAAGGAAAGGTGATTGATCCTTACTTCATTAACCCAAATTGCCCTGGGCTACTTTAAGAGTTAAGAGATTATTTTTACACCCTGGTAGTTTCCATGGTAACTAAGGAATGACCTCTGAAGAATGCAGCTTGGCTCTTGTTTTCTAGCAGCAAGGAGTGAAATAAAGCTGACTTGTAAGAATAAATAAATAACTCCCTTAAAGGATGTTATGTGGAAATGGGGGAAGCTGTGAAATGCTCTCTGTTTGCTGAGAGCGGGGAGAAATCACTAACCTTTGCAGACTCATCTATGAGTGCAGGGAGGTTTTCTGCATCTTTACTCACTAACGGAATAATGTTTTCTTCTGATCTCAGACACATCTCAGTATTAGCAGAAACAATAAAGAAGGGAATCCACGATGCAGACTCTGAAGCAAGGATAGAGGCAAGAAAGTAAGTGGATTTAAAAAAAAAAAAAATTATCACTTCATAAACACAGGATGGTGTGCGATGGAAAATGGAAGCCAAGACAAACGCACATAGGGCCTGTTCCTACTCCCATGGCAGTCGATGGCAACAGTTCATGACTTCAACAGGAACAGGAGTGGACCCACAAAGCAGTCAGCATGATCTTATTAATAAAACCCCAGCCATACACTCATTGCTTCTTTAGATTCTGGTCATTTTACATCAATGTGTAACTTGGTTTTCTCCCAGCGTGGATTAATCCATGTATTAATGTATGTTCTTAGACGCACAAGAGCATTTTGCTAATTCTTACTTATCTGCCACCAATATAATGCCTAGATAAAATCTGGTGGTTTCATTCCTGTTCCCATTAAACACTGGGTTGCCAAAGGGCAGTGAGATTTGATAGCCAAGTATCATTTGATTTCAGGCCTGATTCTTTTATCTCATGCAAAAATCTCTTTGTCCTTAATGGAATTTTTGCCTGAGTAAACATTACAGGATTGGGCTTGCCATTGCTTTCTAAACTACTACAAAATATTGTAAATAATCAAAACCACTGTCAGAGTTAATTAATAAAGTACAATTGTGAGGCAGCATTATTTTGCCTTTCTTAATCACTGATCTAGAAATCTCATTAATTTGCAATGATTTTCCCTGTCACAAAGGATATAGCAGAGGCGCTGCTGTATTTTCAAAAGTGTGTGTATGTGTCCATGGGAGGTTGTTTTGGTATACTGAGAACTTGTTCTTAAACTAAGCACCCATTAACCAAAGAGTCTAAGTGAACTTTATACGGAGAGAGAAAGCTGTCGTATGGTACATTTTACATTTCATGAACTCGTTTAGAAGAATCAAATGATTAAATGCTACACTTCAAGAAATGGTAGTTCATAGTAGGAGTGGGTATTAAAATTATTTTGGGAAGGAGCATTTTCTCCAATCATGAAAATACTATAGGCACCCCGGTATTACAGCAATGTGGCTAGGTAACCCAGATAGCTAGTAGCGAGGCAGACTCTTTGAGGATTTATTGTGAATGTCTAATTCTCCTTTATTTTTTTCTTAATTAATATATTGCCAATGTTAAGATTTAAATTTTCGCATTTTATCCCAAAGAGATTAAAATGCTGACGACTTCCTCTGTCTGGGGAGCAGCTGTCACATGCAAACGGCTCTGGATTCATTTGCATTTATTGATCTTGTTCTTAAAGTGTCCTCCAGCCTAATCCTGAAAGGTGCCTGTAACTCCTATAGATTATAACAGGAAGTAAGGATGCTCAGCCTCATCCGGGAGGCCGTTAGTGCCACACAAGGCTGGTCCCTGGGTGCTGAAATGTTTCTCTCTCCTTTTTTTGAGTGGGCGAGATCCTGAGAGATGCTGAGCCACTCTCACTGAAGATAGTGAGAGCAGCGAGCTCAGCACTCCCTAAAATTTGCCTCAAAAGCAGCCAAAGTTTGCCCCACAGTATTCTGCAAAGGGTCAGGGTCATCACAGGGATAATTGTCAGTTACTACACACCTGCTTTTGAATGTTATTGAATAAGGGAGTCACTGTTATGTTACAATTGGAAAGAAAAATCTCTGTTATTGCTGTCATGAATCAGGCCCACAGATCTGTCTTCAATTGCAGATTGTTTCAGAAACTGTTATTGAATTCACATTAATTTGCCAGTCCTACCCCTTTAAACACCAATGGAGTGTCCCCTCGGCCTGTATAGAGCCAGTGTGGGTGAAAGGGTTAATGGTATTTACCAGCACTCATGCTAGATTTCCCCCTTTCACTGGGACATTGCGGGTTGAAGCTTGCCATGGGGTGTCTGTCTTGTCTAATCCCCGCTGCTCTTACGGGCTAAGGGTGTTCTTCCTGACCTCCTGATTGGAGCTGTGACATCTGGGTATAGACTCTGCCCCTTTCTGGTGCTAGCTGTGTTCCTGTGATGCCCTGCACGGTGTACACACCCTGCCTTCCCACTTCTGGTCAGTGTGTCTTGTGTGGAATTGCTTCCTCAAAACGCAGCGGTAGCCTGTGTGGTATGTTTCAGATGCATCAGAGAAAGGCTGCATCACTGAAATGGTTCAGTTTTCATAGGGGTAGCCGTGTTAGTCTGTATCAGTCAAAACAACCAGGAGTCCTTGTGGCACCTTAGAAATTAACAAATTTATTTGGGCATAAGCTTTCATGGGCTATAACGCACTTAAGGCAACTCCCATCTTTTCATGTGCTGTATATTTATACCTGCTTACTGTATTTTCCACTCCATGCATCTGATGAAGTGGGTTCTAGCCCACGAAAGCTTATGCCCAAATAAATTGGTGAGTCTGTAAGGTGCCACAAGGGCTCCTCGTTGTTTTTACTGAAATGGTTCAGTTAAGCCATTGCCATTGGGGATGGACGTCTCCTGTGACTGAGCTGCTGTGGCTCACCAAACGTCACAAGGAGTTTTCAATGGTATATTGGGATCTTATTTTCAGATGTTATTGGGGCTTCCACAATCACTTCAACAGAGAAGCAGAACACTTGTTTCACACGTTGGAATCCTCCTATCAGAAAGCCCTGCAGTCTCACTTGAAGAACTCAGACAGCATTGTATCCCTGCCTCAGTCCGATCGCTCGTCCTCCAGTTCCCAGGAGAGCCTCAAGTAAGTCTCCGTACTTTATGACCACTGATTTTATTGACTAAGCTGCAGATGCACCTAAATGTGAGCAACTATGACATTGCACCGTTACCATTCACAACTTCATGCTTAACCTTGTGTCTCATCTCCTTGATCACTGTTCACATTTATTTCTTGACCTCAACATTTGACCAGCTCCAAAATATGGCATATGAGGTTTTTGGCTGGCAAGATATTAAAAAAAAAAAAAAAAAAAAAAACCCACACTGTTAAATATCCTGGAGTCAGTCTTGAATCCATAAATAAGTGGACAAGAGGCTTTTCATTCTCAGCCAGACAGTATTAGTCAGCCCTCCTAACTTAAAAAGACACTTGTCTGGCCTGAAATTTTTGATGCTTAGCCTTAAGCCAGAGAAGTGAGTGTATCTGTTTGTCTTTTCTTTTTCTTGTAAGAAGAGAAGTGGCCAAGCTAGATATAAACTATATAGCTGCAAAATGAATAGCTTTTCTGCTGCTTTTGTGTATCTTGGCTGTTTTTGAAGGGACGCAGTCAAAGAATTTAGACTCAAAATTTGCCCCAGCTGAAAAGCGTTAGAATTTTTTGAGGACTGTCCTATTACAATATGAATTGTAAAATCCACCTCCATCCTACAAAGAAATGTATAAAATACATTAGTCACTATTTACCTAGGACCTGAAATCTTCTTTTGCTCTGTTAATGCTCATGGTAATTTTTTCATACTCTTTTCTAAGGAGTATTATTGAGCCTCAATATTTATATTTAAACAATAAATCCTGTTAGTCTATTACTATAAGTAAATAGTTGTCTATTACGAACCCTTTATGACTATGTACTCAGTGGGGACATGAGGACGGCTTCTAAAAAGTAATTCCAGGTTTATCATAGTAATTATATAACTGCATAAATATATATTTGATATGTTTAAAAAGAAAATGAAAGAGGGCCAGGCCAGCAGTCTAGCAATAGCAGGAGAGTGTTGTGGGAGCACAGGGAGAGCTAAGTAGACATTCATCACTCAGACTAGACTGGCTCCAAAGCAAGGGTTTCAGTGCAGCAGACGTCCGTGATGAAGGACCAGTGCTGGACTGAAGGCCAGTTCTAGATTAGCAGAGAGGGGAGTAGAAAATAATCACCATTGGCAATAGACTCTTCCTGTGCCTTTGATCAGTGAAATCCCTTGGAGCATATATGTGGAGAGTTCTGAAAACAGAGGGCAGTTTTGAATGAAATCCTGAAATAAGTGGGGAGCCACTGGAGGTGTCTGAGGTTGTGGTCGGTATGGTTGTGCTTCTGTGTATATAGCAACATTTGGCACACCCTGGAGTCTGGAGAGTGGGGTCGTGATTAGGCCACTGCTATTTTTAATAACCAGTTATAAATGTAGTAATGTAGAACAAAGCCTCCTAAAATATGATGACATTTTTATAGCCAAGATTACTGGTGGCTCAAAAAAGACCTGTTTGACTTTAATAAATGTTTGTGTTTAATTTCTAGCCGTCCATTGTCTGCCAAAAGAAGTCCTACTGGGAGCACTACATCCAGAGGTGAGAGCAGGAACTGGAGGATATGTAATCACCTATTGCAGGGGAAGATTTGTAATGAAGTACGATAAAAGACTCAAATATTTCAGGGTTCAAAATAGTGATTCTGGTTATAATGAAATCTCCATTTACTGTGAAGTTGTTCTTTGGACCATTAGTCCAGTCAGATATAGCTGTTCCTGTGGTCACCAGCATATAGTGGAGGCATCTTATGTGCATGTCTCCTATGGTACTAAATTCCAAATTGATCACAAAAGTGCTTTCCCCATTGGACACGAGAGGTCTGGACCACTTCACCATCAGAGCCCTAATGCACTTGACTGCACTGGCAGGTGGGTGGACAAGCATACCTAACAGGCCTTTTCCAGCTCTGATTTTTGTTTGGCTTTTAATAGCCACCGTCTCAGTCTCCACTATGTACCCCAGTACAGGCAGGGTATCCCACAGAGGCCTTTGATACAATCAAAAGTAATATTGAGCCTCCTTGATCTTTTCCATCAAGACTTTCCAGCATGTAGAATCTTCAGAGCTTTGCTTTGGTTCCAAGCACTTGCAGCTTAATGCCTGAAGGGCATACTCTTGAGTGGGAACATCAGTGAGTGAGGGGAACAGAAAACCTTCATGAGCAGATGAGGTTACTGTTAGCAGGCCTTGCTAATAGTAATCTTCAAAGTGCAGGGTCCAGACTAATTGATTTGATCCCACTTTAATCTGCTACTAGATACCATCAGCTGAGAGCATGAGGCTATGTTTTAGTCATGGGTATTTTTAGTAAAAGTCATGGACAGGTCACTGGTAATAAACAAAAATTCACAGCCCGTGACCTGTCCATGATTTGTACTATATACCCCTGACTAAATCTTGGGTGCTCTGGGGCAGTGGGCAGCCCAGGGGTGCTGCGGGTGCTCTGGGCTGGGGAGGCAGCCCAGGACACCTGCGGTTGCTGGGGGAGGCAGCGGCCTGGGACCCCTGCTGCTGCTGGAAAGGGGGAAAGATTTGGTGGGGCTGGCGGGCTCCCTACCTGGTTCCGCATGGCTCCCCGGAAGCAGCGACATGTCCCTAGGTGTAGGCGTGGCCAGGCAGTTCTGCACACTGCCCCCGCCACAAGCACCGGCTCCGCAGCTCCCATTGATCATGGTTCCCGGCCAATGGGCGCTGCAAAGCCAGTGCTCGGGCCAGGGGCAGTGTGCGGAGCCGCCTGGCCACACCTCCGCCTAGGAGCCGAGGGACATGTTGCTGCTTCTGGGGACCCTCCGAGGTAAGCGCTGCTCGGAGCCCTCACCCCCTCCCGTGCCCCAACCCCATGCCCCAGCCCTGAGCCCCATCCCACATCCAAACTTCTGCTGCTGTTTGGAGGGGGGAGCGGGGGGGTACGGTGGCACGAGACTGCCCCAGCAGCGGCTGGTGCGGCTGGCCCAGGCCAGCCATATTGGCCACTGCAGAAGTCCCAGAGGTCCTGGAAAGTCACAGAATCCATGACTTCCATGACAGATGCCAGCCTTACATATAAGTAATATATTTTTCTGCTCACAGAAACCACTGCAGAACAGCACTGTGAATTAGTTCAAAATAGAGACCCGGTGGATGAGGCAATATATTTGAATGGACTGATGAGAGTAGGGGAAACTGTACTTAGAAAAGAACAGGGCACTGGTAATGAGATACTGCCTCAGTGAGTACATTGTGCATCGTGGTCTTTCTGGCCCTTTTAATGAGCACTGAAGTCTCATGCAGGGAACACTTGAACGTTCTTATTCAAGTGCTAACTGGGTGCTTTGAAACAAAGAGTCAAACAAATTAATCCTCACTAGTCTTGATTGTGTCTCTGTTCCCCACCCCATCTAAAGCCTCTACAGTGAGTACAAAATCCGTGTCAACCCCAGGATCTCTGCAGCGGTCTCGCAGTGACATCGATGTGAATGCAGCAGCTAGTGCCAAGTCGAAAGTAACATCTTCTGGAGCTTCCACCCCCTTCAGTTCCGCAGCAGCCCTGCCCCCAGGCTCGTACGCATCACTAGGTGAGCCTCCGTGTTCTCTTCGAAAGCAGATAATTTCTCCAGTATTATAAACGATGTGAATTTAGTATTAGATGGCTTGTTCTGAATATAAGCCATGTCTCCAACGAGAGGGTCACTAGCAGTCCAGAACCAGTCTGTTCTCTGTGGCAACTGGGGCTAAAGAAAAATACATTTCCAGAGGGAATCAGCCTTGCAGGAAACACAATTTGCTTTGAAACACTTTTCTTCCTTCCTCAGTTTCCCACTAACCAGCACATTTATGTTGTGAAGAGATGTTGTTTTGACTCTGATAGTCCAGGGGAGGATACTTGCTGCCCAGTTCACCCTGGAACTAAAGAACAGGTTTACTGCAAGTTGTGTTATGCTTTGGGTAGCATTAAGAATGTCTTAGCTGCATTTGATCCTGAGCTAAGGAGCTGTCTCTTCATATAAGTAAGGGATAGAGCAGCAAAGAAAGGAATCTGACTGATCTGTGAGTATGGTTTAGTTACTTTTTCAGCCTATGTGAAAGGCACAAGTTCACCTTCCTCCACTCAGGCTCTTTTTGAGGGTTGAAATCATGCATTGTGTTCCTTTTGCCTTTTTCTGTTGCCCCAATTTTTTCATGCTGACAAGTGAAGTCGCCATTTGATGTAGAATCTACTTTTCAGGTGGCACGGCAGGCTGCATGGATGAGGAAATACAGTTCAGAAACAGCTAAAAACAGTTGCTAGATTACTTGCTTGGTTTCACTTGTCAGTTTTCATTAGCCTAGATTTGACCCAGGGAGAGCTAATTACCTGAGCTAGGATTTAATTCTGTAATTTATTGTAATTTACATCAGCCTTATACTGATGTAACTCCATTGACTTCTACCAGATTAAGTGATTATAGCAGGTCTCTAATTGGTATGAGAACGGATACCCTTGCCTCTTGTCGTGTAGATTGCTGAACCTTAGCTGTATCTGTTGAAAGCTTGACTTCATAGCTGTCTTGTCAGTGTACTGGGAAATACTGTATGAATTACATTAGGATATATTTATATATTTTGACAGGCATCACTTACTGCTAAAATCTTTGTCTTCACTTCAGTTCATTGGCCCTGTTTGGTTCAGTGGTTTTGTTATGAAGTGTTTGCCCTGGCTTAAATTAGTTGCTCACATTGACTTCATGGTGCAGTGAAAACTGCAGACAGAATACTGGAGTTAAACGCATGTTTCTTGTCATTTCCCAAACGTTTAGAGGCTGAATACAGGAAAGTGACAGTGCTCTATTAGTCTCACTGCTCTTCTCTGATACTCTATTTCTTGTTTAAATGATGCATGGATTGGATTGGCTGTAAAGGGAACTCCTTTCCTTTTTGCCAGTAGGAAAAGTTGCATGTGCAATTTCCTGCAAGAGGAATGGGCAAGGCAAGCAAAGGAGTGGGATTTAGCAAAGCTTTGTCTTTAATACATGATTGCAATGGGACCAAACTAATCTGATTCTAAGACCTGTTCAGATGCTTCATGCTTTGAGTTGCTGATTAACCAAATTTTCTTTTCCAGTTTCATTTCTTTAATTGTATTGATTTTTTTGCTTATTTCTGTAGCTAATATACAGTGCCCATTTCTGTTAATATTACTAACTCTTCCCTATTTACCCTCTCCTTATTTTTTTTTAAATTTGCCTAAAGATGGTACTACCACTAAACCTGAGGGTAAGCAGTCTGTCTGTGTGATTGAGGTGTGTCTACAGTTGTACCACCCCTATCTGGTCTCTGTTCTCACAAAGTGTTACCTGGTTCTCATCTGTGCTCACTGGTGACCTGCATGAAGTGTTGCATGGTTGTTTGGCTCATTATGACACCATTAGATATATGTCACCTTCTCTCTAAGATCCTCCTTCAGATTAGACACCAATCTGATTTTATGACTCTTGCTTCCAATCTTTATGTGAAACTAGTTTAAAAGCAATGTTGTATACAAGTCTCCATGCTAAAAAGGTGCTGTTGGTTGAAGGTGACCTACAAAAGGATAAAAACAAAGGCTTGTGCTCGTCTTTGCTTCATTGAGATGCATAAAGAAGGTCTGCTTTGTTGTTCTAGAAGAAATTTAGGTCATGTCTACTTTTTTTTCCGGGAGACTCAGGATGACAGGAGAATTACTGAGATGATTATATTGCAAATACTAAGGAAGTGAAAGCTGGGAAAGGAAGAGGGATTTAGTCAGTTTGTTCAAACCTCTGGGTTTTGTTTGTTTTTGTTGACTCTCTTTAACTCCTGTGCCTGGTAAGCAGTTGAGAGCGAAGAGCTTTTTGTTAAAGGCTCAACACCCTTGTCCCTTCATTTAATGGTTGAGAGAGCTCCCACTCCAGTTCCTCCCAAGAAGCCATTTAAAAAAATGATTTTAAGGAAAGACAAGTCTTAATGTTCCTGATATGTCTATGGTAAAAAGGCAAGCAGAAAACTTTCTTTTTGTGGGGGAGGGAGGGAAGGCAAGGCAAGGAGGACGTGGGTGTTCATGACGAAAAAGCCAAAAAGCACAAACCCCTTTTTTTCCCCTTTTGCAAGTCATCTTTTAAGGGATGTATTATTGATTTGTGGGACTGTGTGTGAATATCCTAGATGGCTGTTTGTATTAGAATGTAGTTTCCCAAGAAGCACCACCATGTCATTGTGATGTCTGTTTTTCCCTCTGATTTCTGATAAATTGATATATTACTTATAGGGATAGATTTCTCCAGTCTCCTGAGCTGAAAATGTGTCTTGGTGTAGAGATATGAACTGGCTCTTAATCCAGTGCAAGCCTTTATGCTTTAGGATCCATCAACCATGGTGTTGGTTTAAATCAGTGTTTCTCAACCTTTTTGTGCTGGCGACCCTCTTTGGACTTAAAAAATAATTGTATGTCGTGTTCTCCTCCCCCCCCCCCCCGCGAAAAAATTGCCACCCCCTACCTTAAGCTTGGGGCTTCGAGCTTCAGCCCCCCCATGGCTCAGGGCTTCTGCAATTTAAAGTTCATTTACTGTTTTGTTTTTTTTCTTATTGGACTATCAGTCCTTATCTAGACTGTTTTTGCTGGAGGACTCTCTGGAGACAAAAACAAGGAATGCGAAACTTTATTATATTCTTCATATTACAAATGTAAAAATTCACTCACACACACACACACTCCGGCCCCTTTGTTCTGAACAGTACCCCCTTTTGGGCTCTCTCTACATATCATAAAAGATACAAACTCATTTTTTAGGTCACCTCTAAGCAACTATTTTAGAATCGCCACGTTTTTCTGTGCAATGTAGATTGACCTTTGCAGTGCAGTAGTGCTCATGAAGTGTATGTGTAGTCTTCTCAGGACCAATATCTCAGATTAGGAGAAAGCCAGAAGTGGGATATGCCAGTTACATAAGTGCAAGTTAAAAGCTGAATATCAGATTTAAAAAACACTGTCGCCTGGATAGCTCTGTAAAGCACCATGCTTGAAATTTACCACATGCTGAGAGCCATCACAGGGCCTATGCACAACTTATGTCTTGTGCTGTCCATCTGCACAAAGGTGAATTGGGCGCTATATCCAGTTAGTACCCACTCCTGCAGCCCTTTTGACTGTGTAGCTCCCTTGCTCATCACTGGGAGGTGTGTATGCAGAAAGGTTGCAGAAATCAGGCTTTGTAGAGCTATACAAATAGTTACTATGATCCAAATAACTGGTCATGGATGTGTAGAAACTTTCCCAATGTAACTTTCCAGTTACATTCCGTGGAGAAACACATTCTGAGCTTGCTGTGCAAACACTGTTAAGATTTCTGTACTACTATCCCTGGAGAGGGGGTGGTTCAGAACCTGCAATACGTTAGGCTGTGCCAACAGCTCTAAATTTCCAAACAGATTGTGGATAGGTGTATTGTTACGAAGTTGGGAAGTTCAGATGGGATGAGTTCTGCCCCTCTTTGGTATCTTTAGTATTCCCGTCAGTGTCTAGCAGTCATCCAGACTAGTACAATTTTTTCAAATAAAAGTATTATTATAGTACAGTATAATGACTTCTCCTCAGACCTTTATAGGAATTTTGAAGTCCTTCTAAGCACAAGCTCACACATCTTACAGAAACCATGGGGCTGGGAACAAACAAATTACTTGCAGCTCTTGGCTTCAAAGTAGTGTGATTTGTTCCTATCAAGAAACTGGCAGTTAAGTTTCATGTTAAAAAATGCTTTGAACTGATGCAGTTAATCTGTGTGGGGCCAAATTCAGAATTCGATTACATGGTATAAATATGGAGTAACTCCATTCCAGTCAATGAGGCTTTCTTTGGAATTATGCCATTATAACAGAGATCAGAATCTGACCGTATGTAATTTTTAACATACTGTGAAGGGAACATGTGTGTCTTTTTTTTTTTTTTTAACCAATGATCAGGGAAGAAATCATCTTTCCAAATAACCTTCCTTCCCTCCCCAGGCCCACAGATAACCACATGTCCTTGATTTGATTGTGTTTTTCCCGAAGTGAGCATTACCACATATTTTACAGCACATATTTTACAGGGTAATCTGACGCTAGAAATAAATTTCTACATTTATTATGTCTATATTGCACTACCTGGATATCTCCTTTTATAAGGGGTCTGATTTTCATCCTAGTTAACCTTTAAATGTATTTTGCAAACAAATGACTGCAGTCAGAGAGCATTGATTTATTTCAGTGTTCCACGTGTCTTAAAAAGAAGGTAACTGATTACTCATGACTATATTTATATATACATCCACGAACTTTGCTTATTCTTCTGCCCCTGTATTGTCATGAAACCTAATGACTCCCAGTTTTGAAACAGATTTTCTGTTAAAAAAGGGCCTATGTAAGGACTGTACTTTCCCTTGCCCTTTTTGCCTTATTTCCAAAGTGAGCACAAACATAACCCTTCAGACACTAAAGACTAACCTCTCCCATAAAGGGAAGAGAATGGCATATAGCTATATGAATTTTGTCCATTGGAAAAAAAATAAACCCTAATTGTTTAGTGTGTTTGTTAATCTCACAA